TAATTTTCAAAACCACGAAAGCTAATTAAAATAATTAAATTTTAAAAAACATAAAGGCAAAACAAATTGAGAAAAAACTAAAATGGTACAAAATATTTTGTCAAACTTAGCAGTGTGGAGAAACTAGAACTAGCAACGCCTCCTAGCGAGAAACTAGAAAAAACTCAAAGAGAGTGGATGCAACCTGCCTTATTTTCTTCTTCTTCATATATGTTGTGTCTGTGAATGTGCTTAAATATAATCATGTTGTTTCAAATAAAATAAAAAGTCTTTTATTCCCTTATTATCACCACACTTCACACCAGTTATTAAAACCACATCAACCATAAAAAGATGGATAGAGCTGCGTCATTCTAAACACTCTTTCAATTGTTACTCTATTTTACTAATTTTAAATACCAAACTTAGTTAGCATTTCTAGATGACTTTGCATAGAGCTTGCTCACATTCATTTTGTTTCCAGGTTCTTGCAATTGAACAGTAAACGAAGGTAGAAAAATCAGTCTTTTTAAAGTCTTCCTATTCAAATGATTGGTGCTTGCATGATCACTATTTGTAGAAGGAAAGACGAAATTCACGCTTTTTACAATAGAATATATTTATTGTAAAAAAACATATGCTGTTAATACTTAGTTTTTTTTAAAAATTTTTTAAATAATAGTCGTTGAACAGCCGATGCAATTATTTAAGTTTACGACTACACCGTAGCCTTGTAATTTTAAACCCAATCCAGAAGACAATGGAACTTATGGATCAAGTATTGGGAGAAATTCTGCCTCAGTGGAGGACTTTTTGATTAAAACTAACCCGCATTTGCGCTACACGGAGAGGAAGATCACGAGAACCTCCCAAAGTTAGCCTCACGGCAAAGGAACTCTAACTCATGATCCGTCTACCACTGGGGATATTTCACGTCAGCACTGTGATCGGTGCAAGCCGCATGCGGATTCGTATCGACCACCCATCAGTGGGATTCGAACCCGGTTCACTTCATTGGAAGGAGAACGCTCTATCCACTGACCCATCATCTCATAAAATTTTATTTTATATCCGTCGTTGAACAACCGACCCAATTTTTGGGTTTACGACTACTAATGTTCAATTCCGCAGCCTTGTCATTTTGAACTCAATCCAGAAGACAAGGAAACTCCTGAATCAGTACCCCCAGAGGTTTTGGGAACAGGTTACGGGAACATGGAGGACTTTGCGACTCGACAGATTTAACGTGCATCAGTCAGCATTATTACACGGGGAGTCTTCGGCAGGCGAGGATTGAACCCACGAACTATTGAACGTAGATCGGCACCGTACCGACCAGGATCTTTCATACAATTTATAAAAAAACAAGATTCTGAATGGCCCCTTGAGTGCCTGGGACGCACGGACACTGCACTGGTGTGCACAAGCGTGCGTAAAGACCATACTTACCCCACTTTAAATTCCGTAGCCGGCTCTCACCGATCACAGTTCTGACATAAAATATCCTCAGTGGTAGACGGATCATGAGTTAGGGTCCCCTTGTCGCCAGGCTAACCTTGGGAAGTTTTCGTGGTTTTCTTCTCCGTGTAACACAAATGTGGATTAGTTCCATCAAAAAGTTATCCACGAAGGCAAAAATTCTCCCAAGGCTTGATCCAGGAGTTCCCTTGTCTTCAGGATTGGGTTCAAAAATACAAGGCTAAGGAGTTGAGCATTGTTAGCCGTGAGCTGTAAATTCGGTGACTGTTATAAAATAAAATAGCTCAATGACTGTTCTGCTCAATGACTGTTATAAAATAAAATAACAATGAGGAGGGTGGGATAGCCTGATTGGTAGGACACTGGACCCATAACCAAGAGGTCGTGGGTTCAATCCCCACCGACCAAAGACTCCTCGTGACGTAAATGGTGACTGGTGCACGTTAACTCTGTCGTGTCACAAGGTCCTTCATGTTCTCATAACAAATCAAAACCTCTGGGGGTACTGATCCAGGAGTTTCCTTGTCTTCTGGATTGGCTAAAATTAGAAAGCTAGGGGCGTTAAACAGTAGTAGTCGTAATCCCGTCGGCTGTTCAACGACGGATACAAAATAACAATGAGAACATTTGTTGTCGTTTCTACTACCATTCCAGTCAATTAGTTCAATCCAAAAGAAGTCTTTTAATCTTATGGAAAGTACTTGGACAAACATTTATGATCATGCGATCTATTTCACAAATAAAGTTTTATAATTAACAGAATATATCACAATTATTACAAAATATTATAATTATTACAAATAATACTTAGTTAATTAAAAAAAAACATTGCAAACATAATACATTTTCTAGGATTTCATAAAAATTTTAACAGATTATATATGTACTTCCTAAATGTCACTGTGGTTACTACAATAACCGCAATTAATAAGCTTTCTTGTAAAAAGTGAAGTATAAAAAAAAATGCGTATTAGAGGTATCAAATTAATAGTTAAGTAAGGAAAAAAGAAGCAAAACTACATTAAACAACAGATTTTAAATCATTAAAACCTGACTGATTGCCAAATGAAATTGAAAAGGAGGACATAATAAAGGTCTTTTATTTTTTTCTAATTTTTTTTCTTTCTGACGATCAAACAGGTTTCTTTTTTCTGAAATGTCCCCTTTCTCATTAATGATTCGTGAGGTTTTGATTATGTTATCCTCGCTTAAATATTCCTCCGCGATCTCTCACGTGACATTTTTATTTCAGTTTGTGACAAGGATTTTAAATTATTTCAATGAAATGTTTTGATGACGGAGCACCCTCTACGCTGAATAAGTTTGTGCTCCGATAGTGCTCTGATAGAGGAGGGGTATGAGTTCAGACGTAGTCCCCGTCAACTGAATGAGGCAAAAATTACTCTTATCATGCCTGTCAAAAGATAGAGCCCAGAAAAGCATGTTGCCATGTTTACACTAAATAAAGAGAACCGAAGTTCCTTTAAATATCAGAGAATAACTCTTGATTTAATGGTTGCATCTTCGCGTACTAAAAAGTGTTCGATGAGTCGTAAATTGATAGGATGGTATAATTAATTAGAGCAGAAAGTGTTACGAAATACCCACCGTACTCTCAAACTGATGCATCATGATCAAAATAATTAAAAACTACAACTATTCTAACTAATGCTCTAGAAGGTCCTCTCCAGCAGCAAAATATTCAAATGCGCAGTGCGCAAAATTAAAAAAAAAAAACGAACCACTCTTAATAACCTTTGATCTAATGATCGGATCTTCACGCTCTAGGGCTTAATGGTTTGAAGAGGAGACCTCAAATATGCTATTTAATTTCTGCAGACAGTATTTTGAGTTACGAAATCAGACTCGAAAACTCTGAATTAACAAATTCAGATATACTTAAATAAAAATTTTAGAATTGTTTACGTTAAATAAATATTTAAAAACTAATTCATAATTAATTTCATGATCAACGTATTTGGCCTCGGCAGCCCAGGGTTGGCCCAGGCCTACAATTGAAAATTCCTCCAGGACGCTCCTTTTTTTTAATTATTATTCTGGACTGCTAGTTTTTAAACTCAATCACTCTCAAATCTCATTCTAAGCCGTGGTGGCTCAGGGTATTGAGTGTTGCCCTTCCAATGAGCTGTCCTGGGTTCGAATCATCGATACGAATGATTGATCGATACGAATTCCGCACACGATTTTCACCGATCACAGTGCTGACGTTAAACATTCTCAGTGGTAGAAGGATCATGAGTTAGAGCCCCCTTGCCGTTAGGCTAACTGCGGGAGGTTTTCGTGGTTTTCCTCTCCATGTAACGCAAATCCCTCCAAAAGTCCTTCACGAAAGCAAATTTCTCCCAATACTTGATCCATAAGTTCCCTTGTCATCTGGATTGGGTTCAAAATGACAGGGCTACCGAGTTGAATGTTAGTAACCCAAAAAATGGGTCGCCTGTTCAACGACGCTTATAAAATAAAAATAGAAATAAATCTCGTTCCACCGGATCGAAGCCATCACTGTTTTAGCATTCTTCTTTTGCGACGAACGAAGCGCTTAGACACAAAAAAATTATTTTACTTTTGTTGCTTTTTAGAAGTTTTATCCACTCATTTTATATGAGGATCCTGCTGATTGACCTGAAATTTTGATACTTAGTAGTTCCTGATCTAAATATCTCATGCGCCCGATGTTTTAGGCAATGAACAGATTTTGAGACACGGAGTTTTGAAAATGGATTTTTCATTATTTTTAAGTCTGAGTACAATATACAGAGAACAGGAATGAGTCCTAAAACATGCCTGGCATGGACGTTAACGAAAAATATAGGTAATAGCCATTGATAGTTAACAGTTGATTAGTTTATGTACTTATAATAATGATCTTTAAAGAGCTTAGTTGGCATTCATAGATATTTAGCATTTAATTAATTTATAAGTAATGCTAAAAAAATACGATCCTCGAAGAACATAGTTAACAGTTATTGATAGTTAACAATTAATTAGTTTATAACTAATGCTGGTAAAAATGATCCTCAAATAGTGTAGTTGTCATAGATAGTTAACATTTAATTAATGTATAACTATCATTAAAAAAACTATATACTTCAAAAGGCGTGGTTAACAGCTATGTATAGTTAAGTATACAACTAATGCTGATAAGAATGTTATTCAAACAGTAGTTGGCACATACAGATAGTTAACATTTAATTAATATTTACTAATACTGAAAAATATTATATTCAAAGGGCGTAGTTGTCAGCCATGCCTTTTTTTAAAATTTTGTTTAAGATTGACAACGATTGTAAAATATTGTTTGTGTGACGGTGTCTGCATTAAAATATCGAATTTTGCAAACTCAAGTCGATCATTTCTTCGTCGTAAGAAAATTCTGTGTTCAGTGGTTTAATTCGGGATGAATTAAACCACTGAACACAGAATTGTTTACTTATTACTTTGAAGTAAGAGACCGACTATGAATTATAAACATGAAGAATGTGTGTGGGAGAATTGCAGGCGTTGACAAGTTCATATCTTCACTTGTATCAATATTTAGAAGAAAGTTTTGGTGACGGCGGGTAGGCGGTACTACCATAGGCCGCACCTCCCTTCACTTTACCCAAGTATATGAATTCGAACAGAGACATCGCGCCTCATAAAATAAAAATCATCTGCTTAGACCGGTAAGTGTTCTTTATATAATTAGTCATATCATTTTAACCATTTTGAAAAATAAAATCTATATACGTCATCTACAGAAACATTTTATAGTTTAATTCATTTTTAAAATCATACTCATAATTTTAAAAAATATGTATTACGAACCACTTTATTGGTTTATTGATTTTTAATTTTTTTTTATCAGGCAAAGTTCAATTCATTTTTGAAAGTAATAAATATTTTATTAAATGCATAAATTCACAAAATATACTCATCATTTATATATTATGAAACGTTAAATAATTTTATTCATTTTTATTCATCTACACAGATCAGATTAATTAAATCATTTAAAAAATCATTTATTTTGAATCATTTAATACATTAATTGTATTAAATGTTGGTTGAGTTTTCATATTTTTGTTATAAATTTTAGCCATTTTCAATGTTCTACCTTTTTTTCTCGCGCATATAAGTTTTTAACAAAAAATACACATCGTTTAACCATTCATACATTATGAAACATTTTATAATGTTGTTCATTTTTAAAATTATTCATAGTTACATATGAATTTATAAAAAAACTTATCTGATCATTTAAGAAATCATATTATATATATAATAAATATATATAATTTTATATATAACATAAAAACTTTTTCTTTTCATTTGCCAATTTGGNACGGTATATATATGTGAAATTTGAAAACCTTACCAGTGTTTTTATCAAACATATGATTAAAAGAGACATATACATGATTTTTCATAAGTGTCACTTAAATCCTAGATATTTATCAATACAAAACATGCATATCATTTGGAAAAAAATGTTTAAATTATGAGGCATTTTATAACTTTACTCATTTTAAAAATCATTCACAAGTTTTTATGCGTATCAATTAAATCAAACATATCATTTTAATCATAGTTGCCAATTAAAAAAAATATGTGCATCAATTAAAAATATCATACAAAAAGAAGTATTTTAGAAATTAAATTATTTTTAGAATCAAAAACGTGTTTTTTTTCCTTCATAAGCATCGTTTTAATTATACATACAGTTTTTATTAAATAATATTATTTAAAAATCATACATAAGTATTTTAAGCATTTTAAAAACAATATACTTTTTTTATCAAGAATATTATATTTAAAATATTTAATTAAATTTCTGCATTATTTGTCTAAAATTTAAGCAAGAGTGGTGCATTGGCTCAAAAAATATAAAACACTTTATGAGACTTAAAAAACAATTTATTAATGAAACCCTTGAAGTTTAAACAGAATTATAAAATTGAAATAAGCTATTAAAAGTTTTTAAACATTTCTTTTTAAAAAAACAACAAGAGGTAATAAATAAAAAGAAACCTAAACTGTTAATTAGAAAAGGGAAACTTCGAAATTTTCAAATATTTTCCTGATAGTTATGTATTAACTACATGAAATATAACCTTATTAAGAACTTCATTCACTTCCAAAAAATTTATAAAGAGTAAATAACAGTCAGTTTAAAACCGCTTCAGTTTCTTGGGATTATTTATTTAATAAATAAGTTACAGTTAGATCATTACAACTAATGGCAAATATTACGAAAATATTTACTTAATAAATAATTAAAAATTTAAATAATAAATAATTTGTATTATCTTAACATTTTCCTTCTGAACAATGTGAAATAATATCAAATATAACTTTAAAATAATTAAATAAATAAATATGAAGGTTACATTACGAATCGAAAGTTTTTGTTATACTGTTAGTGATAAATATAATTAAAAATAGTCGAGAGAGGTGATGATTCAATTGTTAAAATCAATCCAGAAATTATATTAAAATTGAAACGATTGAATGATTCCATATTTCGCATGTCTAGCTGAATAAGCATATTTTATGGAATTGGTTATAATGTCTTTCAAATGTGTTTTTCAAATTGGTTGTTTCTTTATTTGTGATATCAATTCAATTTATCATACCCAAATGATTCGTGAAATCAACTGAATATTCAGTTGATTATGTATCAATATATCAATAGATAAATTTAAAATTTGTTTGCAATTCAGACGACTATTAAAAAAAAAATTTAAAAAAAGAGAGAGAGAGAGAGAGAAGAAGAAGGAAGTGAGAAAATGAAATTATTTAAAATGATTTCTCATATTTTGTTTTTAAATTTGTAGCAACGGCTTGAAAATGCATTTTATTTAGCAAAATCTGTTTGTTTAAACATAATTTCGAATTAATTTGTTTTGTGACCAAATAAATTAAGATCATTCAAATCTTAAAATCAGATTATATCGAGAGAAAAATAATCAAATGATACTTTACATCTAACAACATGAAAAGGCATGTCTATTCCAATTTAAGAAAAAATTTTATATTGTATTTTAGGTTATGAATTTATTTTTAAATAGCTCATTTAATGATAATATGATATTAATTCATAATTAAATAAATTAAAATTTTCCATGATTTCCGTTTTTTTTTCCTTCAGATTCTTTTCCTTTTTTAGGGTTTACATTTAACCTTCTAGCAAGTGCGCTTTTCATAACAATAAAAAAGGATAACTATCTAATTCATTAATTTTCTTTTAACTTTGCAATTTTAAATTTAATCGTAATTAATTTAAAAGTATGTTGCTCCTTAAAAGATAATTTAAAATTCTTAAGAGGAAAAGTAATTCATATTTTCTGTGAATTTAAACGCGCATTGGTTAATATAGATGTTTCTCTTTTTCACTTTTTTACAACAGAAAAAAATCGTCGATTAGATTTCAGATTTTTTATTCAGTTTAATTTGGTCTGATTAGAGTTAATTCAAAATCAATTTGTACCCAAACATAAGCAATTTCATACTTACTAAATCTGTTATGAACGATCAAAAACTTTTGGTATTATAAAGTATACGGACTTTTACATTACTTAAAATATTTTAATTTCAAATTAATTTATCCAAAGATTTGTGCGAATCGAAAAATTTCCGAAGAAATGAAAGTATTATACTAAGATTTTTTTTGTCATTTAATAACTCAAAAACAACATACTTGGTCAAACCTTTAGAGGGTACGAAAAAGAAGCGATATTATTGTATATTTTTATTTTAACACGCCTTCCATGTTACAAAAAATGCCAAATCATTAAGTAGGTGAATAAAAAAAAGCTGTATTGTTTAATATTTTTTATTCTGAAAAGAGAAGTATATATATACACTATCGGAGCTAATAAAAGGAAATGCTTCATCATTTAAAATATAGGACGTACAAAATAATAAAAAAGGTAATAACTTTTGATCAAATCATTGGATTTTATTACTTGAAAATACAGTTTTTTTAAAAAGTAATATTCGAGGAGCTGTTAGAGAACATGATAGTAGTGACTAGTCTTCTTGGATTGGATCATAATTCCAATTTAGCCTTTTTATGCCCACGGTGAACTGATCGTTCCCAGAAGTCAAGCCTCACTGATAAAATAGAATTTTTTTAAAAAAAACTCAATGTTAGCTAAATTATATACATAATCTTAACCTTTATAATTTAAAAACAAACGTCGTGAAAAAACATATATATTATTAAATACTGCAAAAATATTTTATGTGCTGATTTTAAATGTTTTTATTTTAACCTTGTGGGTGTTTCTTGACACAGTCACGAAAGAGCGGCATTCATTGTCTACTTTGATGCAATTAAACTCCTTTCTGTTTTTCCCGCTCGGAAAAACAGAAGCGGATTAAAAGAGGGGCTCTTGAGGCTCCAAGTTCCGAAATTTGAGTTACAGAAAGGGCCTCTATGGTTTTGAAGTAAAAATTAATTTGTATAACTTTTTAAAAGTTTTTTAGATATTTTATCGTGCCATGTTTTACGATCTTTCCTTAAAATCATTGCAAATGTATCAAGCATTTTCACTGTAAAATTCGAAGAAAAAAAATTAACATTTAAAGAAAAAGTTTTATGTGGCCATACTTCCCTCAGCATCCAACGATCTAATTTCATCTTTTCTTTTGCTTCAAGCCAAACAAGTGCTTAGTTTTCGAATTAATTTTCTCCAACCATCTTCAAAATATTTAAAATTTCATGTCTGTGTTTGTTTGGCAAGAATTTAACAAGCTTAATAAAAATGAAAAATTCCAATTTGTCTCTTATGATTTTAAAATTCGTATGTTGGATAATTCTTACTACTACATAACATTTAATATAAATGCAAAACTATTTGCTTTTAGACATCTACTATATTACGGGAACTACTATTTTCTAACAAGTCAAGTCAATGTGGCGAAGGAAAAATGAGCATGTTGAAGGAGACCATTCAATAAACTAAAATGTTGAAGGAAGATCGTTAATATACAATTAGCGTATTTTAATAAATTTACTTTACCAAAACAATACAAAACCTTTATTACGTCAATGGCTCGAGTGGTTAAACTTAAATAGACTCATTAATTTAATCAGAAGTTATTACTAAATGTATTTTTGTCAGAATATATTAGAAGTTATGAAATCAGACGGGGGAAAAAGTGCATTCTTGGAACAAACTATGCTTTCCTGGATTTTTTTCTGACCTGATTTGCATTCCTGACCTTCAGAATTTTGGGGGGGAGGACCGTAATCTGGAAAAAGGTACAAAATAGATTAGTCAGGAGTTTGGGACCTTTAATGCTTATTTTCCTTTTTTCATGCTGAATAGTGCCGAAAAATGCCGCATTTTTAAGTACCATTTGGCTGGTTTCGTTTGCATACTCTTTTGTCAATTAAAAATAGAGCCAGTGTGACTCAGTGAACGTTCGCCTTCCAATGAGGTGAACCGGATTCGAACCCCAACGATGACCGGTTGATTCGAATTCCGCCCCCGGCTCTCCCCGACCACAGTACTGACGCAAAATATCCTCAGTAATAGACGGATCATGAGTTAGTATCCCCTCACCGTCGGGCTAACCGTGGGATCCGTGGGTGGTTTTCCTCTCCATGGAACGTAAACGCGGGTTGGTTTCATCAAAAATTCATCTACGAAGGCAAATTTCTCTCAACAGTTGATCCAGGAGTTCCCTTGTCTTCTGGATTAGATTCAAAATTACAAGGCTAATGAGTTGAATAGTAGTCGTAAAAACGAAAATGGGTCAGCTGTTCACCGACGGTTGTAAAAAGTGAAATACAATTAAAAAAAATATAAACTTAGAGGTTAAGGGATGAAATCCTTCAACGAAATCATCCTAATGAATTAAATCTGCAGTTGATCGAATGGAAAAGAAGAAACTATCCTTATCGTTAGAATAAATGCAAAAATTTATAATAATGAGAAAAAAAACCTAATGTAAATAAATCGTCAAATTTCCCTCCTCAAACTTGCAGGATTAAGAAACAATTTTTTACAAAAATTTATATTGTGCTCATTCCCTTAATCTTGATATGTCAAGCATTTACAAAAATAAAACTCTCACTTTCGACAATTCACAAATTTCGTTAATTTTGAGAATTATTTCGTCAAGAAATCACGTGATTTGTGAAGAAATGGGAACTCTCAAATGTATGACGAAAATGTTTCTTGGACTTTAAACCTCAGAGTAATGCATTGTGGCAACTAGAATGACGAAACTAGGATAAAGACTGGTAGTCGACCGGGCTGTGTGGGGATCTAGGAGCTGACCTCGAACCAAGTAGTATCCCGTTTCGGGCATGGGTCAAATTTCTCTCTGCTATTTGTTTATCTTCTGTTATTAAGGTGTGACACTGACCTAAAGACATGGTCCCCATGATAAAGTGATTATTATAAAAATTGGATACATTCAACCTTTTTTTTTGGGGGGGGGTGTGAATGGAAAGACGAAATATTTATTTACAACTGACGAAATTCGTTTCCTTGGAGAAGTGACGAGAGTTATTTCGTCACTTTGACGAAACGTCCGCTCGGAGCATATAGCAAGAAACGGTTTCGTCAAAAACGAAGAAAGTTTCGTGAAAATTCAGTATACATTTTTTACAGTGAGTGACTGCAGTATGTAAATAATTAAAAAGTGAACGACATCGATCATTAAAAAAATTTTTAATTTTGTTATTACACGAAAGTGCTGAGAGCTTTTGTTAGAAAAATAGAAAAATGGGATAAAAAAAAAATCCGATATTTTTGAAGAAATAAATGTGCCTGTATCAGTTAAGTATGATTAAAAATGAGGTTTAAAATTAAAGAAAATATAATGATATACATTCAAAATTAAATAAACTTTCTTTCCCAGTTCATAAATGTTATCAACACTATCCCCCCTCTTTCCAATCCATTTATTTGCAAACGTTATTCAATAATTAAAAGTAGTGAATGGTCTAAAATTTTTTATTTTTTAAATTGTTGCGAACTTAAAGTTTCTTACTATATATAAAAATCTAATGATGGTGTCGCAATTTTAAATTGTTTTCCGTGCATTTTTATTGCCCGAAAAATCACCAGTTTTTCCTCATTCACTTCCACATTGTTTTAGTTGTCATCAGCATAAAACTAATAAAAGTATTGTTTTTCTATCAATATTTTTGCATCTCTAATTTAATTTTATTTTTCTGTACTGCTATTATTACGCTCTTAATTCAAAAGTGTAAAATTATAAGGATTGTTGTTTTTTTATTATTATTATAATGTAATTCTGCGCAACATTTTAAAATAAAGTTATTTAGAAAGATGGTCCAATCTTATTAACCATTTGACAATTATTATTTTGCGCCAATAACATTAATATGTACTTTTTATAAATTACAGTTAAAAAGATCTGTTACATGATTTTGAACTTAACGATCAGCTTCATGCGCAATGAGATACAAGCCGCCCGTTTGTTGAGCAAAAATATTAAATTAAGGCTTAAGGCTATGAATTCATCAAAAAAATTTTTTAAACATTATAAATGTTATTTTAAAAAATGATTACTTAGAAAAATGTCTTCTGTTCACCAATATATCTAAATATTTATAATACTAATAGATATTGGACGTGGTAAGTGGAGGTACAGGTCATCAGAATTCCTTATAGTACCTAAGAGAATAGTTTTAACTGTTTTCTGTCAAGAAACAACAATTATTGAGAAGCAATCATCGGGGTTGGTGAGCGGCAGTGAACAGGGGGCCCCCTAGTTTGAACATAAAAACCATTAATGCTTAGAGTGAACCCAGAATATGTAAATGCACCTTTTTTCTAGCAGATTATATTGTACATTGCACAGTCACAATTTCTTACTAAACATTCTGTCTTACATTCCAAATTTTGATTTTTTTTCTTTCAGGAAATGTATTGCTTGTACTTTTTTTGCCTCATTGCCTCTGTGTGTGGATACGGGACGCTCCCCGAGTTCTTGCGTCCCAATGTGGTCAGAATTTTAAATATTTCATCTATGGCTGAAGTGGACGTGAACACCATGGTTAATATTTCTTCAAATCTTTCCAACACAAGTTTGTCCGATATAGAGAATGATCATCTCATTCATGCTTTACAACTTCTCAACAGAGAAAGGTAATCTCATTTCACTTCATTTATGATAATAGCTTTTATAGTAATTTGAAGACGTAGAAATCGTTCTTACACAAAGCCATTAAAAGTTAAGTTGCCAATTAAACAATTTCTTTTTGAAGTTAATAGAGATTATCTTAGAAAAATATTCACCGACAAAATCCTAAAAGTTCCAACATAGCAAAATCTCTAAATTTTCTCTGTTTGATTAAAGATATTCTTGCAACCCATCCCCTTTCAGAATCCCTGGTTAAATAGAGGGAGCCATCGAAAATGTGTGGCTTTTTCATGATGTAACTACTAGCAAAACTACTGCCCGAATGACCAAGACCCTGATAAGGAAAACCTAGCTCTTAAGAATTTCTCATAAGATGCTAAATAAAACTCAAAATGTAGAGAAAACAAGGAAAAAATTACAGAACTATGAAAAAAGGGGAAAAAGAGAAAAATAATAATAAAAATAGTAAAAATCCGAAAAAAGAATACCTGAAAAAAAAGAAAATAAAAATGTGGAAAATAAAAGATGCAATCTTTTCATCAGCTCACACGATTATATCAGCAAAAAGGAGTTGTTTCCAATATTAGAAAGCTCTCTAATATAAAATATTAGAAAGCGAATATAGCGATGATTATCGACAGCAATAACAATCGAAATATAAATGCTGTTTCGAATAAAGGATATCAAAAGTTACGTCTTTGGAAAATTTTATCAAAATCTGTGTTCTAAAGAGACAGAAAGAGACACAAAATAAGAATATAATTAATTACGTTGCGATGTTCACGCTCTGGCAGATGTCCCAAACGTCTGGCAAAAAGGTTCGAAGAGTACGCGCCGGCCTCTTTCCCCTCCCCATCGCACCTTGTTATTTTTACGATGTTGTGTCTGGGGTCGTAGTAAGAATCAAATTTAATAGTCAGATCGTTTGTCATACCACAAGTTTTGCTGCCACAGACAGAACTAAAATAAATACGATTTTTTTTTCTTCTGTTCTTCGCGTCCCTCATCAAATGACATAAAATAATATCACGTACTAATTAAAACCGATCCCGTTTTAATCGAAGTTTCATTTTCATTCAATTTTAACATTCTGATCGTTTGTCTTGACTAAAATATATATTCGATTTAATAAAAGAGTTGGTAATTGTTTCGGTGATTCAAATCGATCATAGGAACTACCGAGCTGATTAAGTGTAAGAATGAACTTTAATAGTCAGATCGTTTGTCTTGACTCAAGTATATTCGATTGAACAGAAGAGTTGGGATTTGATTCGGTAACTAAAATCGATTAATGGAATTACTGAACTGATTAAGTGTAAGAATTAATTTTAACTGTTAGATTGGTTACGAACAGCTAGCTTGCTGCACACACAGAACTAAAATAAATATTTAAAAATATCTGTTCTTCTAACGTTCTTCGCATGGCTCATAGAATGACAAAAAATAATATCACGTACTAATTTAACTCGTTTCGATCTCGTTTTAATAGATGTCTCCAATTCATTTTCTTTGATTTTTATTAGTCAGAACGTTTGTCTTGTCTCAAATATATTCGATTGAACAGAAGAGTTGGGAATTGATTCGGGTTTTTTTTTCTTCCTTTTGTTCTTCTAACGTTTTTTACATTGTTTGCCAAATAACAAAAATTATGCAGTGCTCTAAATAAAGACGGGTTCGTTTTAATAGGTGCACAATCTCAGTTTCCCTTAATGTGAAAAAATATGCATTCGACTGATTCACGTGCTAATTACTGACTCGATAATTTAAATCAATGATTCGAACCACTGAACTGATTTAGTGTAAGATTTTTATAGTCAGATTTTTTTTTATGACCGGTGTGGAACAGCAGACCCATTTTTGAGTTCACGACTTTCCATGTTGAATTGCATACAATTTAATTAACTTAACCCAGAAGACACATGAAATCATGAATCAAACATTGACACAAACTAGCCTTCACTTCTTGATAGAACGAACCAGTGTTTGGCGTTACATGGAGAGGAAAACTCTCACCCCTAGCACCACAGCAGGGGGATTCTACCCCAAGATACCGCTACCACTGAGGTATTTTTTACGTCAGCACACACGATTTTACCGAATAAGAAAATAAATATTCCATCATGATGAACTGACGGGTAGTTCGAAATCTAAGCGGAAAAGTCACTTTTTATACAGGAGGGAACAAAGCATGCGAAACATGAGTGTATTAAATTTGACGAAGATTTCAAACTGGCATGGATTCTGTGGTTCACTGTGATAGAAAGCTTTTTAAAAAAATAATTTTTTAAAAAAAATTCATTTCTGTACTACAATATGTCAAATAAGTTGCTTTTATTCACTTTCCTTGATTCTCCGTTCCTCTTTCGCTACAAATTTCTTTGTCTTCTTCCCTTAAATCATTGGTCATAGTTGGATGTGCCCAACTTGTCGTTTACATAGTACACTAAGCTATCAAAACCTCAAAATAATACAGTAAGCTATCAAAACCTCAAAATAATACAGTAAGCTATCAAAAAACCCTAAATAATACAGTAAGCTATCAAAACCTCAAACTTAGATGCGCCCCATGCAAGAATTATAAATGCGCCCTATCTTAGACTTAGCACAACTGTTTAAAATTACAATATGAGGCAAAAACACTATGAAAAGACATTTAGGAATTTATAATCATTCATTTTATTTTAATTTATATCAATTTATAGATTTTAATTTAGATTATTTGAATATGAATGAATAAAGAATTAATAATAATCGCGATGAAAAGGCGGAATTTAGAAAAAGTGCTAAATTGGAACACAATACACACTTACTGAGTAACAACATTGAAATGAAACTTATCTTGATAATACAAGTAATTCACTAGTTAAGGGTTATTTTTATTTATAAAGTGAATTTTTGCATAAAAAATTATAATAGTTTTTTAATATGCTCAGGTGCTACCACGGGCCGCAGGTTGTGCACCTCCTTGTATTATTTTTGGATCATGCGCCCTCAAACCTTGTGCGCAGAGGGGGTGTTATTTACACCACTGCCGCTTAAGTTTAATCCTTGTTCCGTTTATCTTTAAGAATATTTTTATGTCAGCTCTGGTCCAGACATGATCTTGGGTCCGTTTTGTTAGACAAATGTTGCACATCATTAAAAGAAACAACTTAAGCTAAACTTCAACGTAGACAGGAAAAAAAAAAGAAACGAAAAAAAAACAAGCCAGCAGAACTGTTGCCATCAATACCTGGAAAAAGGAGTCTCAAAACAACTTTCGAAGAATCATTCGTTCTTTGATCCAAAAGAGTGAAAGCAGTCTGGGAAAGTCAGAAACAACAAGGACACGAGACGTTTTTTTACGGGGGGAGGGAAAAAGGAAAAAAAAAGAGAAAAATGTCACGCTTCCTTTGGTTGAAAATGAGTAAGTGACATAAAAAGCCGAAGAAGCAAAGAACTGTGTTATGTACCACCTTTGCAGACTGTTTTTTGCGTGTTTTTCTTAGAGTCTGCGAATCGCTCTCTTTTCCCACAAATCAGTTACGTCATGCAACCAGTCCCATACGACGCGCGTGGCGGGAAAATAATTCGAAGGAACAGAAGGGAAAAAAAGAACATCCCCCTTAGCCATTTTATTTTTCCACGCATCTAAGTCATCTTATGAGGCTAAGTTGTGAGACAAAAACAAAAGGTTCAAATATCACTTCCGCGCTTTTCCCCTTTTTCGAAGTAAAACGTCATACGACGGGGGAAGGTATCACATTTGAAAACTATAATAAGAACATCAAATGGCAGCCGACTCTGATTTTTTTTTTTAAATTTGAAGAAGAGCATCTTTTGTATTTCTGGTGAGATGCCCACCCAGAAGAGAAAAGGTACGAGACGATGCGGCATCAAAACATAAGAACAAAATTTTATCGGCGCGTGGCAGTGGTTGTGGTTCCAAATCTTTTGGCACCCACGGCTATTTTTCCTGTTGAAATACGACTGCCAGCACCCATGGATGTTGCAATTTAATTGGTAATTATTTTAGCGCAGATTCACTTCTATTTAGAAAGAAAAACGAAAAATAGTAATTTGCTTTTATAACAAGAACTTTTTTTTTTAATCCCTATTAATTAGAGGTCGCAAATTAGTATAAGGAAACTAAAAACTAACGAAATTCATGAAATAGTTTGAGAAAGACTGAATGAAAAACATTAAAACCAGTATGATTGCTTGATATAACTTGGAAGTGTCTCTAATAATGATCTTCTTTTTGTTTCCTCTTACATTCAAACCGGTTTTGATGTTTTTAATTCCCCCTTCTTCAGAAGTGATTGAGACCTAGTTTTTGATTTTTTTTTTTCCTACTTCAAATATTAATTTGCAACTCCTTATAAATACACTTTGTTGAATTCGGTTTTGATTTGGACTCTAAAAACATATGCTGAAAGGGCAGTCATTAGAGAATACCCTTTATATAATATTACTTATATTAATTTGAAAAGGATGAGATTGAAGAAGTAGTTGCCGGGTTAAAGGAATTAAATAGATTATTAACCCGATTGCTTAGGTAAGTTTAAAGCATAGTTTCATCGAAAATTAACAGTTAAAAAGTTTACATTTTGAATAAAAATGTATAACAGATAAAAATAGTTAAAGCTATACAATATTCTAAACTTGTTTGCTTTAAACGCAGGTCGTTTAAAATTTTGAACTTATAAATACTTTAGTAAATCATTAGTTTGGTTGTACAGTATATTTACTTGAAGAAAAAAAAAATTGTTCCGCATTGAACTATTTAAATCAAAACATTTTCTGACAGAATAGTAAGTAATAAGTGAGTGATATTATTTGAATTTGCTATTACTTAAAAAATGAATTGTATTTTTAGAAAAAGTTTGCAGTATCTAATAAATCCTTATTTTTAATTAATTTTAATTGAGTAATAAAGACAATAATATTGAAATTTTAGCATCCATGGATAATTAGTTTACGTCTTTTTCTAGAAAATCTAACCTTATCTCTGTAATTTACATTCATGTGAAAAAAATTTGCTTTTAAAAATCTCTCGGGTATTTGAGATCGCGAATGCCAATATTCATTAGATTATATTGGAATTGGAAGGATTGACTGGTTAGCAGGGCGCTGGACTCATGTTTGTGAGAACGAGGGTTCGAATACAGCCGGCCTAAGACTCCCCGTGAAGTAAATGGTGACTGGTGAGCGTTTAATCTGTCGGGTCACAAAGTCCTCCATATTCCTATAGCAAATCAATATCTCTGGGGGTACAGAATTGGAGATCGATCGTTCTCTAGTTCAGATCAAAATTACGATCTGTAGACGAATGAATGAATGTATGAATGGGTCCGCCCTATAAACGGGTGTGGCAATTCTTGGCCATAGATGGCGCCACTAGAAAACAAGAACAATCGCACCCAATCCGTTCTAATGGCCGACGACGACAACAACATTATATTGTAACTTATTGTGGAATATGTTGTATCGATTGTATTTTTGTATTGCAGAAAGAAGCAGGAGCGACTGATTACCATCCAGGCTCAGATCCTCCAGAATCTACACCTGAACAGGCAACCCAACATAACGACATCCTTCTTCTCTGAGGATGAGCAACTGACTTATTCGAAGCTCGTAGAGAAGATGAATAAAGTGGAAGAGAATGTTGCCGATGGACTCATCTTGATGAGAAGTTTCTATGCGTCCTGTAAGTGTCCATCATAGAGCATTCTTCAATAGACCGCCAACGATTCAATAAATCAGAGAAAGAAAAACGGAAGAGGATAGAAATGCACGATTTGCTGCGTTTTGTTAAGAAAATGAAGGACTCATCTCACCAAATTTCAAAATTAGTTTCAAAATTTGCTGACAGATGGCGCTGCTATAAAGGAAAAACTATCAAATAACATTTGTATCAACATTAGTTTGAAAATAAAACTAGGAGATGTCCATAGAAATATGTCGGTTGATATGGTTTGACATACACCTGAAAACATTCATCGAAAACTGTGTTCATCAATGTTTTCAATATTTTAGTGTTAACCAATGTTATCAGATTTATAGTGTATTCAGTCAGCAACCATCTGTCGACAATTTACGAAACTAATTCTGAAACTCAAGTCCGAATACATACTTCCTTTCCTAAACAGAAATTAGCAACCTTTTCGCTTTCCTTCCCAGATAATCGGACAGTTTTGGGACACTCAGTTTATAATTCATAGAAAGGAAGTCTCAAAAACTAAATGTCTGTCCTAAAACATCATTGAAGTATTACAGTATGAAATTGAGCCACGTTATCGTTCAAATTAATCATTCTTGAATTTGATTAATCATTACCAAACTTCAACGTTTAGTTTTTGTTTGATTTCAGTTTCACACTCATAAGCGTATTAAAGTTACACTTATCAAATGATTGCAACTAATTTCGTATCTAATAAAATCAATCATAGTAATATATTTCCTACTATGCAATGTAACTGTCTGCTTAAAAGAAGAAAAAAAAAGCGCCGGACTTTCCTGACAGCCAGTTTTTGGTCAATGGAGGTCATTGGACTTCGTAATTTCTTGACCCATGGCAATGTGGTCAGTATTACGCACCGATCACGTTTACTTCCCTGGCAAGCAGGTGTCAATGAATTTGCAGCTAGGTAGGCCACTTCTAGGTTCAGAACTCCGTCCTACAGAAATGGTAGCTGAACACCTTAGCCTCGTGTATCTACTAATAGAGCTTTGAAAAAATTAGTCTGCGTATTCTAAGCTGAACATTTCTATGTGGGGCAACAGGTGGTTTTATAACCTGTAGTCTATTTGTTCATTAACAAAATAAGTAATGAATGATATTTAAAATTAGTTTTATCTCATAAAAACTCAGTGCCTTAACCACTAGCTCTATAAAGCCTTGTTTAAAAAAATTATGCGTAAAAAATACTAAATTTTTGTTTTGCGCAGTATTGTTAATGGTAATTTTTGGTAATAAGAGATGTATAAAATATATTTTCAACGACACTTAAAATTAACTTTATCATATAAATGATTCAACACCATGAAAATCTTTTTTATCTTCAATCAGAAAATGGCTGTCTCTGAAAAATTCGTTTTCACACAGGTGCGATTCCTAACAATACTGACAAATCTTCGTGGGATTCAAATGATGGCCTTCGAATATTTTACGATCTTCCTTTCAACTCTTATCCTTCCGATGTTACCATAAAGACGGCCATCCTCCGGTTGTTCAAGAAAACGACAGATATAATCAACTCCCAAACTATCAATGTCCAAATCTATCAGTATCTTAAACCTTTGAAATTCAATCGAAAAGGTAAGCTGTCTTATTTATATCTCTATAGACATACTATTTCAAACATTGTTAAATTCAATAAGTTATCTGCCTTGTTCAATATATCTAAATATATTTCAAACATTATTAAATTCAACGAGTAAAGTGTTTCATGAATGTCTAGAGATTGAATAGAAGCATTGCGAAATTCACTAAGTAATCTGCCTTGTTAATATCTATAGATGTATTTCAAACATTATTAAATTCAATTAGCAAATTGTTTCAACAAGATCTCTCGATACATTATAAACATTGCAAATTCGAAAAGTAAACTGTCTTAAAAATACCTCTAGATATATTTCAAACATGGCGTTGAATTCAATAAATACATTGTTTTGTTAATATTTCTATATATTTTACATACATTGTTAAATTCAAATAGCATACAGTTTTATTATTCTCTCTAAAGGAATACTAAAAAAAAACTTTTAAATTCAATATGTAAATTGAGTGTGTATTCACTTTGCTCATTGAGTGTGTGCTCAAACTTTTAAACTCAATATGTAATTGAACTCAATATGCAAACTTGTCAAATGGGTGAAGTAAATTGTTTTATTAACATCACTAGATATATAACAATCACTATCAAATTCACTGTTTTATTTATATTTAAGTAAATTAGAAACATTTCAAATTAATTTTTTTTTAAGAAAGCATGTATTTCAAGCAATTCAGATCAAAATGTCGTCATTTAATATGAAACTTATGTTTTTGCAGAATGATATGCGAGTTATATTTTATAACCATTCCAATGAGATAACAGTAAGTGACGTAGTGTGGATGTGTCGATCCAGATGGGTTGTTCAAACGTGGCATTTGTTTACGTTACCAACTGTTCTTTCCATTCTATATCGAGTAGGCCAACCCGTCAAGTATCAATTCTATTTAAGTGATGCATTCTAAATTTTTTCATTAAGACTCTTTCTCAAAGATTCCAATTCTTTAGCTATATATATTTACAGAGAGACTTGACACAAAGACAGGCACAAAGCCACGTGGAACATAAACAAACTAATGATGCATCGAAGTTGCCAGTAACACAAAACAAAACTACATCACGGTTACAATTAAATACATAATCAAATAATAAATTTAAGTTAAGTAGACGAGAAAGAATTATATTTCAACTCATTCGATGTGTGCTCTGTATTTCATTAATTTATCGTTGATTAAAATTCTAAACTTATGTAGAGAAACTTAGCCCAACTTTTATAAGCCATTTTACTGATAATGATTAGCTGATGTTATAGGACACATGTGTGGTTTTCTGTGATCTTCTTCTTCTTGAAGAGCAAGTATCGTATTGTTTAGAAATGGTTTTTTTTTTTTTTTTTTTTTTTTTTTTTTTTTTTTTTTTTTTTTTTTTTTNTTTTTTTTTAAGTTTTTGGAAAGGGTTGCGTTGCTTTTTTTCCATAGGACAAAAACTGTTATTTTCCGGACTCCTACCATATTTATCAGGAAAAAAAGAGATGGAACCGATTTTCTTGACTTTGATCAAAAAGTGGTGATAAGGAACGAAATAACCAAACAACTATTACCCTAATAAGACTCCTTCCGATTCTCTTAAAATAGTGAGATTTGTTACGAAAGTTATTGGGCTTCTTTTAAGGAGCAAAAAAGTAAATTAATTAATATTGCAGACAAAAACAAATTTCGAAAACAAAAAAATACGAAGTTTTGAACCCGATTTTGGACACATTGAATCATAGATGTCGAAATCAGACTTAAGTCAGATTTAATATCCTGCTACTCGATCTTTATCTAAAGGCAGAAAATGCGATTTTTACTTTGCTTACAGAAATAAACTCATAAATGCAGCAAACATATTTTTTAAAAAAATTAATTCAATTGGTAAATTATTATTATCATTTATTTCTGACTATTACATAAAAATGATACATTTCAATTTTTAGTATTTTTCTGCATATTGTAGTACATTTTATAGTGTTTTTTTCTTATTTATTTTCTTGAAGCAAAACATCAGTGTCAGCTGATCGTTTCTGAACAAAATGACGTGTTAAAGTTCAGCTAAGTTTCTCCACATAAGTTAGTATGTTAATTAACGTGAAGTTAATTAAATACAGTATGTATCATGGGATGTGATGAGATATAATTCTTTCTCGCCTACGCCTTTTATTTTTCTTATTTTATCGTCTTTTATTTCACTTATTTTACTTATTTACTTATTTTACTAATTTTTATAGTAATGTAATTTTGTTTGTGTACTTGGCAACTTCGATGCAAAATAAGTTAGTTTATGTTCTACATGGCTTGGTACCAGTCTTTGTGTTAAGTAAGAAATATATAGAGTAAGAATTGAAATCTTCGTGAAAGAATATAAAGTGTGTCACCTAAGAAAATTGATGCGTGACTTACTCGAAACTGAGTGGAAAGAATAGTTGCTAACGTAAACAAAAGCCACGTTATAACAACCAATCAAGAGTGAGACACCCACACTACGTCACTTGCAGGTATCCCATTAAACTTATAAGAATACGATCCGAGCTTGGTCAGCAAATTTTGGTAGCTAAGCTTTTTTTACTTGTTTAAGTCATATATATATATATATATATATATATATA